TTCTGGGTAAGTTAAGAGAGAGAGAGGGAAGGAGTTAGGCATCCCTCTCTCTTATCAGTGTGAATACCAGATTTCCCTTCTCTATTTTTTTTTTAATATAATTTTGAATTTGAAACAAAGAAACATTGCTGCTCAGTGGATTAGGAATTCATATTTTCTAGAAAAATGGGAGGATGTTATTGAGATTGCATCTCCCCCCTCCATCAGACCAACCTCTTTTGGATGCAGAGACCTAAGCAAAAATTGAGGGTTGACAGCACCAGGTTCTGGGCGTTGTATTGCCTGGTGTATGCCTTCCGGGCTGAGGCAAATGCTCCACCCAAGGCCAAGGCCCCAGCGATGACTTCAATAACTCCAACTTGGGGGTGATGGGCCTAGGGCCCAGCTTGTTGCTACTACTGCGAGGATGAAGAGTCGGTGTCGCCCCCAACATACTCCTTCATGTGCCCACGGCGGATGAGGGACTCGATCTCATTCTTGAGTTCATAGCAGTCCTCAATATCGTGGCCAGTACCGCGGTGGTACTTGCAATACTTCTTGGGGTTACCTCTTTTAGGGTTCCTCTTCAGCTTGGTCAGCCACATCATGTATTCCTCCTTACCTACTTGCATGAGTATATGTGTTCGGGTGGAATTTAGTGGTGTATATTTGTTGAAGGGGCCAATGGCTTTTTCTCATTGTCTTTGTTCATGTGGCCATGGTCATGGCCATCCCCTTCCTTCCTTTTCTTGTCTATGACCCCACAGCTGGCGTCAGCCTTTGCTTCCTTGATGGAAATGTACTTTTGGACTTTCTTCAAGAACTTGATGTTGTTCCTGGGTGGAGTCTTGGAGATGGATCAGCTGAGGGGTCTGGGCCAGAGGCCACTGATGGTCACGTGCATGGAGATTGAGGGGTTAAGATCCCTTACTTCAAGCTCTTCCCAGTTGAATCGGTCCATGTACACGCGAAGGCTTTCCCCGCACTTCAGCTTGATGCACATCAAGGAAACGACAATCATATGACGTTGTCGGCTAATAACAAAGTTAGAAGAGGAAGAGATCTACAAACTGGTCGCAAGAGTTGACAGACCGAGGGGAGAGTGTGGAGAACCATCTGCGTGCTACTCCCTTAGAGGTGGCTTGGAAGGCTCAACACATCAGGGCATCAGCATACCCATAGAGGAGCATGAGGGCTCCAAAGCTTTCCAAGTGGTTGTCTGGATTTATGCTCCCATCATAGGTCTCCAGAGTGGGAGCCTTGAGGTTATGTGGGAGAGGCTCCCAAGTAATGGAGTCGGTGGAGGCCTCCATCCGGGTAGATGAGAGTTTTTGACTAGTTGAGGCATCACCTCGGCCTTCCTTCACTTGTCGAATCTGATGTTGGATGGTGCCTATCTATGCCTGAAGGTCACCAAGACATTGGTCAATAGGGGCCTGGACCTCGTCTAGGTTTTATATCATGTGGGACGGGTTGGTCCTATTCCTGGAGTGCTCAAATGCTAGTACATCCTAAGCCTTGCTAGCTCGAGGGTCATTATGGAGATCGCAATGGTCAAACACTGGTAGGGGAGAGGCGTAGCATCAACCTCTAGACCTCGGAGGGGGACTATAGTGGCTGGTGTGCCTGATGTCGTCCCGGTTGCTCTCCGCGTGGTGATGATGGTGATCGTAGTCCTTGTGGTTGTCGTGGGACCAAGAGGTCCTTGACAGGGCTTGCTAGCTCGTTAGCTGCTACTACTAGATGTTGAGGGGTTGGCCTTCTCCTGGCTGATCAAGCGTTGGCCCGTTGGTGCATGGGAGGATCATCCATTGTATTGCCCCTGGCTTCCGACGGGGTGGCCACCCTACGGGCGGCCTCCTGTCGAATGCCATACCTCATCCAACCACTAGGCTAGGTTGTCCAGCCTATCCAGAACCAACTTTAATTGGTCCATCGTAATTAGGTTCTGAGCAATATGAGTGCTATCTTGCTTATCAGCCATGTTGGAAACTTGATGGATTAAGTTAGGTTGTCTTTAGAGGTTAATGTTGAAAAGGTTCCCATAGACGATGCCAATTGTTGCTGCCAAATATGAGGCCAATGGCAACAAGGGGATTTCACTGGTGTTCGAGGCCGATAGGTCTGACCTGTAAACAAGAGAAGAGCACACGTCAGATGCCCCGGGTGTTATCCCAAGGGGGAGACTATGACAGTCAAGTTAGCCGAGTGCTTAAGAGGGGTCAGACCAGGCAAGAGACGAGAGCTCAAAGCTTAGTCCTTAATTGCCAAGGATGATTCTCTTGGAATTCTGAATTTGATTACCTTAAGATGAATACCCCCTTTTATAACTAACCTTGCCTTAAGAGTGGTTGGAAGTAGTTGGTGATGTGCGGCCAGGATTTGATTTGGCTGATGCCACATGGTGAGATCTAAGGCCTACCAAGTATCCCTTCATCATCCATAATTACTTAGGCTAAATTTGGAAGGAGTATAAATACAAATATGTAGAGTGAAAAGACTTGTATTTTGTATTATTTTATATGTATTTGCATGATAAAAATATGTAGGGAAGGGGCGCACATAGCAAGATGATGTTAGAAGATGAGATAGGGTGCGATGGGCAAGAGTTGGTAAAAGACGAACTAGGAACGCCAAAAGAGGAAGAACGCGCAGTATTAACAGATGCGGTCTAAATCATCTTGGTAACAGAATCTTAATGTAAAATAACCACACTGAAGGGGAAAATGCGTAAATTGTTTGGGTTTAGACCTCAAAGAGCAAATAAAGCCTGGTCAAGATCATCAACAAATAAACCTTTTATAAGTCTTAGGGTAAGATCCTATCAATGATGGAAAAGCGACAAAGATAGATATCAACTAAATCGACCCCAACATTTTGGCCTTCATAGGGGATGTTAAGGAAGACCAGTTGTTATTGATGGAAATCATCCATTGAGGTAGAACCAAAAACTCGAGAAGAAAATTACAAGTAGTAGAACACGCAGAAAAAAAAAAAAAAGAAGAAAATCAAGGACAAAAGCAGAGAGTAACACCTGCAAGTAATTTTTTTTTTATTAAACCACCTACAATTAATTAAGTGAAGATGAAAAGTTTGAAATTTCTCGAGAAGGTAAAATTAAACATTTACTTACAATTCATCATCAATAGTGGCAAGGTGGTACTAGGCATGCATACCAAATCTAAGATAAAAACAATTTTTTTTTTTTAATTCAGTATGTTGGTTTGTTTCAGCATTGACGCAGAATCCATTCTCACAATCATCAATTCAGAAAAAAAAAGATTTATTAGTGGCACCAAATAAAAAAAGTTAAGGCAGAAGTGTAAAACAATCCAGGTGCATGTATATAAATAATAAGAGGGTAAATCTATTAAACTACCGCTATTGTCTGTGAAATTGACTAACTGTACTTTTACTGTTTGACTATTGTCTAACACTACCCCTACTATTTCTAACAATTGTCTATTTATACTCCTACCGTTAGCTTCCGTTAATGCTCCGTCATGATCTGTGCACATGTGATCCCATGTCACCTATAAAACTTTTTCAAAACCCAATATTACCCTCGTCCCCTTCATCCTCTCTCTCTCCCCTTCTTTTTCACCATGTTCTTCTATTGAATGTTGCTACACATTTCCAAGAATCATTGAATCAGTTCTCTCGAAGAACAGTAAAGCTCTCTTCAAAGTTTGCTTCATTCCAATGTGCGTCGTTGCATCTTTCAAAGTCAAATAATTCCAAAGTTATTCGATTATGCTCCCAAGGTGTTAATGACAGTCTTCGTTCAATGTAAGTTGGTTCACCTTCAATCGACTCCATCTATTATAAAATCCTCTCTTCTGTACTGATTCAGACATCTTAGAGAAACCACAGAATACATCTACAGAATTTTTTCTCTCGATCTATTAAGCTCTTTTTTCTCTTTTCTATTATATATTTTACAGTTTTCTTTTACTATTACTGTCATCCGCAAACCATCAGTGGTATCAGAGCTCGTTCGATCAATCTCTTGGGCGTGATTTCTTCTAAACATTATGTGTGCAGAAGCCAATCGTTCCACCCTTTCTCTTCCAATCTTCAATGGAGAAAACTATGACTTCTGGTCCATCAAATAAAGACCTATTTTCAGTCACAAAGTTTATGGAGAATCGTTGAGGAAGGATTCTGCATTGCTGAAGACACCTCTACTCTTTCAGCAAATCAAAAGAAGATCTATGAAGAGAATCAACAAAAGGATTGTTAAGCACTATTCTGCTTGCAGCAAGCAATGACTGAGGAGATATTCCCTCGAATTATGGGCGCATCAACTGCAAAAGAAGTATGTGATACACAGCAAGAGGAGTTTCGAGGATCTGTCAAGGTACGCACTGTTAAATTGCAGAAGTTTAGAAGGGATTTTGAAAATATTAAGATGAAGGATAATGAGGCTGCAAAGGATTACTATTGTAGAATAAAAGAAATAGTAAATCAAATGAGAGCCTATGGAGAGACTATTTCTAACAAGAAAATAGTCGAAAAAATTCTAATCTCTTGTACAGAGAGATGATGCAATAATTTCGGTGATACAAGAAACAAAATATCTAGAAACACTATCACCAACTGAATTAATGGGCTCTCTCGAGACATGAAAATAGGCATGATAGGCAGAATGAAAATTCGGTTGAATCTGCCTTTCAGTCTAAAGTTAATCTGCGGTCTCATAAATCAAAAGTTGATGGGAGAAAGTCACAAGAAAAACCAAAAGAAAATAATGACAAGTATTCTTCATGTGGTAAAAGGATTGGATCTTTATTTGTGGGGTTTTATGATTAGAATTTAGAAGTTTCTATTTGTACAAATTGGATTCTTTTGTGCATATCGGATTGGATCTCTCCTCGTTTCAAGATAAATAGTATGGAACGGGGTAAAAGGATTATTGAACTACAGACCAAACTGAGACACGAGGACACAACGTACTTCACTCAGTCACTCACACCAACCAGAGACGAATCAAATCAAACCACAGAAAACAAGAGCAGGAGATGACTTCCGAAGACAGGTTGAAAGGACCAGACCAACCGAAGCTGTGCGCCAATGGGTGCGGGTTCTTTGGGACAGCGGCAAACCAGAACCTCTGTTCCAAGTGCTACCGCGACAACGTCCTCCGTAACTTAGAGAAGCGCTCTTCCTCTTCTTCTTCCACGGTGGTTTCCTCTTTACCTTTGCCGTCGTCGTCACCTTCGCCGACGACATCTTCTTCTCCTCCTCCTGCATCCTCGGTGGGTTCGAAATCAACGGTGAACAGATGCGCTAGCTGCAGGAAGCGTGTAGGCTTATTGGGTTTTACGTGCCGGTGCGGGAGCACATTCTGTTCGATTCACAGATACCCAGAGAAGCATCAATGTGGATTCGACTTCAAGACCACTAGAAGAGTCGCCATATCAGAGACAATCCAACAATCAAGGCCGACAAACTCGATGAGAGAATCTGAGCTTTTTTTTTCATTCCTTCCTTCATATACTCTTAGCAGAGGCAATTAGTAATTGGAATATTTTGTTTTTTCCCTGTTTTTTAAGTAATAACTATGTTACTGGTGAAGAATTAATGTTCAGATTTCTTTCTGTTAAAGTTCTGAAAGAAATAACTATGTTTTTTCATTCCTTTCCTTTTCATGTTCTTATAGTTGGAATTCTGAAAATTTGTTCATAAATACATTCATCACGTATTATTTTTTTTCTCTGCGCCACTTTGCTTGTCTTCATTAAATAGGTATTCGGCATTGGTGCCTGGTACATTACACTATTTCAGAAAACGTGCCTATTTTTTGTTTGAAAACGGTGCTGCCACAACTGCTGTTTTGAGAAACAGCACTCATTTTAGTCCGTGTTCTGTGCACCCATGGGTGCACTGAACACGTGAACCCGCCAATCACGTTCAACCAAGCAGGGTGGATAACATTAACAAAGATTTGGCCGTCAACTAATGGAATCCGGTTAAACCGGACACAAAAATACAAAAACCAGATTTTCATTTCACACATTTCAAACTCCCCCTCCCTATCCGCTCCTCATTTCGAACTCTAGCACAGAAGTTAACCGGCGCTTTCACTCCACACCGGTGCCCCTGTGAACGATGAAGCCATTGGCAGCAAGAAACTAGGAAATTCCCCCGTTAACGACGAAGCTCACCGGTGCCTTCGGTTTTTTCTTTCTTTTGTTGGTTTCTGATCTTACTCTAGTAGAATCAAGCGACCGGGAAGCGTTTCTAGCTCTTAAAATCAGGGGTAGAACCTTCGAACTCACTTTCATGGCAAGGATACTGATGGAGGGTGATTTGCCCCGACCTCATCATAGGGGGACACGTGGGCGTGACTCAGCATAAGTGACAGCTCAGCGCAACCAGTCCGCCAAGGTCCAACGTGGCAGTTCGGCACCGGATGACACTCCGATTATCCCGAGCTCCTCCCAAATAAAGGAGCCTCCGAGCTCCTCCACAGTAAGGAGCCGCGAAATCCTCCCCAAGAAGGGAACACCCCGAGCTAAGATTCTTCCATGGAAGCATCCCAAGCCAAGGTACTGCAAGACAGGAATCCCTCGAGCTCAAGGCACTTTGGGGTGAGCTCGGGAACCTCCTAATAAATTTATTCTGACTCAGACGTAAGTAGGCCGCCTCGGGTAGAATCACCTCGGTATGGCACCTCCAGCTCAACACAGGGTAGCTCGGTGCAAGGTAGCTCGCAGGAAGACAGCTCGGCATATCACAGGAAGATCTCCCCTGACAACCTTACCTGCCAAACTTTTAGCCCTGCACCCACGTCTCTCGCCAGTTCTAACCTGAGAGGTGTCCCCCGCTTGACAGAGCCGTACCCTGCAACAGTGACCTGCACAACCCTGGCAAGTAACGGCTGCGGCAAAGAATCAGAGGTGGTTATGTCAGATTTGACAGGGCACCATTATATAAGAACTCCAACCTCTAGAGAACAAGGGGTAATTACATTCGTGCTATCTGCACTCTAGCTTTCTTCATCTTCTCTGTAATCTTCTCTCTCACAGTTCTAACTTAAGTATCGGAGTGTTCCTGCCGGGAGAGTCCCCTGGAAATCCTTCATTCTCTTCTTCTCAGGTACCGTCCGTCACCAGTTTGGAGTGTGACCCCCTGACAGCTAGGAGTGACTAGATTGCGCACCATCATTTGGCGTCGTCTATGGGAACGCTTCAAAAAGCCTTCCACCAAAACTTTGCAGACTTCAGTTCTCATGGCCTCCTCCAGCAATGCTGGACGCAGTGTAGAAATGAACACCGCCGAGGAGCAACTCCAGGTCCCAGCAGTGTGTATTGGATAGTTCACCGTCCCCCTCTCCGTGGATGGAGTTCCCATTCTGAATGTGCCTCAGACAATGGCACCCGTGAACGCTCCACTCCCTTTCACGGTTGGAACTGCCTTCGTCGAACCCTCCCTTGTTCCTCCGGTAACTGCCCAAAACCAGCTTGAAGACCTGGTGCAATGCATGCGAGCTATGCAAGCTCAGATGCAACAGGTCTAGCAATTCCAACTATATCAGCAGCAAGTGCTACACCAAGTTTCTCAGCATCACTACCAGCAACAGTTCCCTTCACTGCCTCAGACCCAGCAGTCGCTTCCTCCTTGACATCCGGCCGCACAACAAGCCAGGCCTCGCTGTCAGAACGAACGTCCTCACCGGGGAGAGACCTCTCAGACCTAGAATCCTCTCAGGAGTCAAGTCTCATTCCACGGGAGGAAGGAAAGACCAGTTACCCCTGCCTCGCCACACAGTAGGTCGGGAGGGTCCTAGCCTACCAAACCCGCATCACTTAGCTTTCTGAGTTCGTGGCCCCGCTTGTGGAGAACCGGTTCGAGGTCTTGGTCGTAGACTCTAGGCAAGATCCCTCTGTCTGCAGCCATCACCAGCATTCCCTCCCCCTCCCTCTATCTGCAACGATCTACTTGCCCGAACTCAAAGGAAAAGAAGAGGTAAGCTTGGGCGAAGCGAAAGCCACTCCACTCCTCTCTGTACCATCCCCTCTGTCTCCTGAACTCTTGGTTGTCCCAATGCCCAAGGACTTCAAACTACCTCCCATAGACAAATATGACGGATCGTTCGACCCGATTGACCATGTTGATGCCTTCCAATCACAGATGCACTTGACAAGGGTCAGTGAGTCTTGCATGTGCGTGGCTTTCTCCACCACTTTTAGAGGAGTGGCCCGCACATGGTACAGGAACCTTGCGCTTGGGTCAATAAAAAGCTGGGCGCAATTCGTGCAATTCTTCACTTCTCATTTCGTCACCAACAAGCGGTGCCCAAGAACCCAAGAGAGCCTCCTTGGCATAGTCTAGAGGGAAGGAGAATCTATTTGGAGTTACATCAAGCGGTTCAATGATGCTTGTTTACATATACCCGACCTGGACCCCGCAGTTCGGGTTACAGTGGCCAATAGAGGCATCATGCACAAAGAGTTCAAGTGGCACGTAGTGGTCAATCGACCCAAGACTGTAACCGAGTTCCTCAAGTTCGCGGACCAGTTTATAGGGACGAAGGAGGAAATCAACCAGAAGGGTGAGCAGGTCGSTGAAAAAAGAAAAAGGGAAGCTGAGTCCTCAACCTAGGGGGACAGCAAGAAGAAAAAAGACTCAGCTCGGGGGGCAAGGCCAGGTTAGCCTTTTCAAGCTCCACCAGCAAAGAGGACAGACTACACGCCCCTAAAAGCAAAGCGGGCTGAGATCCTTATGGCGATCAAGGATGTCCCGTACGTGAAGTGGCCACCCCGGCTGAGAGGGGACCCTAATGTAAGGAATAAGAACTTGTATTGTAGCTTCCATAAAGATCACGGTCATTGTACAAAATAATAATAATAATAAAGCAAGTCGGCAGGGGGGCAAAGTGTAGATGCTCCCGAATCCAGCAGCAGGCAAGCAGAGCAGCCGCAGAGGCAGCCCCCGGAAGAGAGACCAGTTTGGGGGACTATCCATGTGATCGTTAGAGGATCGATTGTCGTGGGGCTGCACCTCGGCTGCAGCTCGTACATCGCCCCGCAAGGTCGGAAGGGAAGACTAGAACCCTCCGAAGCGGCCAAGGACGGAAGACCCAATCTTCTTCACGGAGGACGACACACGCGGGGTCCACTACCCCCACAATGATGCGCTCGTCGTGAAGATAAGGATTAACGACTTCAAAGTCAAGCACGTCCTCATCGACTCCGGCAGTTCGGCGGACATTCTTTTCAAGATGGCATTCGACAAGCTTCAGCTCCAAGAAAATGACCTCAAGCCCGCAAATACTCCCTTGGTGGGCTTCAGCAGAGAGGAAGTCAGGCCCCTAGGAAGAATCACTGTACCCGTGGAGGTCGACACCTAGCCTAGCATAGTGAGGCTCAACCATGACTTCTTGGTGGTCACGACTCCCTCCCCGTACAACGCCATAATAGGTCGGCCCATCACCCACGCCCTACGTGCGGTGGTCTTCACCTACTATCTAGCGATGAAGTTCCCTACGGACTTCGGAGTTGGGGTGGCACGAGGCGATCAGCTTAAGTCTCGTAAGTGCTACGTCGCCGCCATCAAAGTGAAAGCCAAGGTGGCAGACGACCTCGAGCTGGAGCGACCTGCGGAGCAATGCGAGGAGCGAGCTGCACCCACAGAAGAGACTGTATCCGTCCCAACTTCGACAGAGGACCCAGCTCGGACACTCCAAATCGGCACCTCAATCATGGAGCCTCTACGATCCCAACTGTTAGGCCCGTTAGATAGAAGAAACGCAACTTAGCCCCAGAGCACTAGAGAGTAGTTGATGAGGAGGTCGGGAAGATCCTCGCGGCCGAATTCATCAGAGAGGTCCATTACGCGAGTTGGGTAGCCAACCCGGTCTTGGTAAAGAAGGCCAACGGTAAATGGCACGTGTGCGTCGATTATACCGACCTGAACCAAGCTTGCCCAAATGACTGCTTCCCACTCCCTAGGATCGACCATCTAGTGGTCGCATCCTCAAGGCATGAGTTGCTGAGCTTCTTAGATGCCTGTTCGGGCTATAACCAAATCAAGATGGACCCTGCCGATGAAGAAAACACGGCCTTTATAACTGAACTAGGCCTGTACTGTTACAAAGTCATGCCCTTTGGACTAAAAAATGTCGGGGCTACCTTTCAAAGACTTGTAAATAAATTATTTAAGCCATTAATTGGCAGAAAAGTAGAATGTTATGTAGACGACATGGTCGTCAAGACTCAGTTTTCAAATGATTTAATACAGGACTTGCATTCTGTTTTTAAAATTCTGCATAAGTTTAACGTGAAACTAAATCCAAACAAGTGTGTCTTCGGTGTCACCTTGGGTAAATTCCTAGGGTACATCGTTAACCGGTGTGGCATTGAGACCAACCCGGATAAAATAAAGGCTATCCTAGACATGAGACCACCCCGAAAATTGAAGGAGGTTCAGAGGCTGAATGGCCGAATAGCCGCCCTGAGCCGCTTCATGTTGAAGTCAGCAGATCACTACCTGCCTTTCTTTAAGGCGATTAAAA